CCAGCGAGGCCAAAACTGCAGCTGATTTCTCCCAATTGCCACTTCTGAAGCCTAGACAGGTAAAAGAAACCACTCAGATTTGCTTACCAATCAAAACTCTAAGCTGAAACTCCAAACAGCCTCATTCCCTCACCTCATCCTATTACTTTTGGTTGGAGATTCCAACAGTATCTCCTAGGACCTTCTGCAGCAACAGAGCTACCGCTTCTCCTCAAATGCTTTCTCTCCTCTCTGCTATACCAAGTCAATTCCTTTCCTCTCATTCCCCATTTTACTTTCCTTGACTTGAGTTGCACATATAGATTCTAATATTGTCATGCCCTGCAATGAGTGTTGTTATGTTATACAGTACTTATCACAATTCAGGTTGGATCTGTTCGAGTTGAAACTGATAATTCTGTGGCTTTCCCCCTTTTTGGAGGATCTCCATAGAGACTTTGGAATATTGATGCATTTGGAACATTTGGAGACCCTTCATCACTGCCTCATCCCTAGATGGTAGTAATAATCACATAGGGACTTCTGTCTCTATGGACTCCAGTTGCTACCATTCCTAGTTCTTCCTCCAAGCTGGGGTGAGCTCTATTAAATTATAGGTAAGCCATCTCATCTATGCTCTGGGCCAGGCATGGGCAAACTTCAGCTATCCAGGTGTTTTGGACTTCAACTCTCACAATTCCTAAGAGCCTCTATTAGGAATTGTAGGTGTTGAAGTCCAAAACACTTGGAGGGCCCAAGTTTGCCCATGCCTGCTCTAGGCTGTGCTAAGATTCTAGCAGCTGCAGTCAAAATGTTGTTGCCATAACATAAAAGGCTTTCGGTAGTGTACTTTTGCTTTGGAAACCAGTGACTACAATCTTAATACACTATCCAAATCCCATTAACACTAATGAGACTTACACAGTTTAAAATGTACTGCCTCAACTTGTGAATGTGACCCCATGGTGCAACCTCTGCTTTCATAAGCTTCTTCTATTTTGAGAGAAAAGGTCTGTAGTCAGTTTGGACTCTGGTATGACCAAAGAAATTCAGTTCTCACTAAATGATAGTCTTATAACCTGGTCTGCGGTCTATATTTTATAGATTTAGATTCTTATTTGCTTACAAGTATTTATTATACTGTAACTATGGATAATATTGCAGCCTAAGGAGGTAAAAGCATGTTTCTGCTTCTTTATATGCCATCTAAAATGTGACTTACAAGGCCTGTGGAACATTTAAATAGTGTGAACGGTGGTGTGCATGGCATTGAATAAAGGATCCCCAAAATTACATGGAGGCACATTCTATTAAGATAAACATATCAATTCACAAAGACAGAACTGAGTCTTTGTTAGTATTAAGCATGCGTCATGTTATCTTGCCTTTCTTCACTACCTTATGCTTACCCATGTTAGAATTGAGATTGGCAACATGAATCGCAGTATCAAAGAACCCAAATTATGTTAGTAGTTCAAGCTAGAATATAACCATTTAATCATTTACTAAATGGTAGCCAACATTTACATAAATATCATTGAATTAATGAATGTATTAAAGTGGGCACTGCCAATGGATTCAGCCCAGAAGACACACAACCAGCCTACCAGACTGGAAGATTACAACTGGCACAAAGCCACCCAGTATCTTTGTCAGTAGCAATTTAATCAGTCCTCCTCAGTACTAGTGTAGGAACTGAACGACACTGATTTCTTCTCTTTTAACTATTTCCCATTTTTAAGATATGAGAGAATATTAAAGGTAATGTGGAAACAAAAGATCTTGCAAATATGTATGTTTCTGCTGAATCGTATGAAAGGTCCTCTTAGTCCTGCCTCTTATTTCACACAATGGGAAATCCAAAAGTAGGGTGTGAAGGTAACAAACATTTCCCTTTGTCATTCAAAGGCATGCTCTGATCCTTGTGGTAATAGATTTTGTCTAATCCTGTTTTCAAGCCAGCTAAATAGGTGGACATCATCCTAGCACTGGTTTGTTGCTATGATACACTCTTGGCTTGGCACAAAAAGGAGCTTCTATAGAGAGGTGACATACAAAGTTGTGTCTCTGTAAATTTGAGGATGAAATTGGGAAGAGCCTTCTTGATAACTAGAATTTTTTTACTTAGTACAGTTGTTTGGCTTACTGCGTATATTTTCCCATCTTTTGTTGTTCATTTGTTTAGTTGTTTCCAACTCTTTGTGACCTCATGGACCAGCCCACATCAGAACTCCCTGTCGGCCGTCACCACCCCCAGCTCCTTCAAGGTCAATCCAGTCACTTCAAGGATCCAATCCATCCATCTTGCCCGTGGTCGGTCCCTCTTCCTTTTTCCTTCCATTTTCCCCAGCATAATTGTCTTCTCTAAGCTTTCCTGTCTTCTCATGATATGGCCAAAGTACTTCATCTTTGCCTCTAATATCCTTCCCTCCAATGAGCAGTCCGGCTTTATTTCCTGAAGTATGGACTGGTTGGATCTTTTGGCTGTCCAAGGCACTCTCAGAACTTTCCTCCAACACCACAGTTCAAAAGCATCTATCTTCCTTCGCTCAGCCTTCCCTATGGTCCAGCTCTCACATCCGTAGGTGATCCATTGCTTTAACTATTCGGATCTTCGTTGCCAGTGTGATGTCTCTACTCTTCACTATCGAGATTGGACATTGCTCTCCTCCAAAGAAGTAATTGTCTCCTGATTTCCTGGCTGCAGTCTGTGTCTGCAGTTATCTTTGCACCTAGAAATACAAAGTCCGTCACCTCCTCCACGTTTTCTCCCTCTATTTCCCAGTTGTCAATCATTCTTGTTGCCATATAAACATCTCAAAAAATGGGGTGTATCTTCCAATCATGGGTGCAACTAGAATCAAAGGAACAGGAGTGGTGGGAGCTAAGAGAGTGGGATGCAAAGCCAACATACAGCAAGGTCTAGCAACCAAGAATCTCACACTGGTTGGCTGGACAAGGAATGTAAGATGGGGCAAGGACAGGCACACAGCTGGAAACTAGAATAACCACTACTTCCTACAGCCTGTTGTTTCCCCTCCTCACCAAGCAGCACATCTAGCCAGATCTCTCTTTAGAAATTCTAAAAGATAGTCAAGACTGTCTGTGTGTGTATTCTTATAATAAAAGCTTGGAATTAGAGTGCATCAATGGCGTCTTAAAATTGATAAAATATGGGTATGTTACATTTATCCTTTTTAGAAAGTTTCTCTTCTTAATGTTCTATGCTATGAGGTTATCTGGAAAATGTTTTGAATTTGCCAGTTGGATGTCCTTAGGGAGGAATCGTTTGAGGCCAAAAGTGGCACAGAAATTACTATATAAACAAATGAATGATTACATGTAACACAGCAACTGTCTTAAGAAATCTATTAATAGAACAAGGGGAAAGTGTGGCTTATAGTTATAATATTATGAGATTTATTCAACGACCCTGCGCCATAGCAGACCCTTGCATCAGGCAGATCAAAATCAAAATGGGCGTAGTAAAGCGTTTGGCAAAGGAAAGGGTTATGTATGAAAAGGAAGCAAAACAGCAGGAAGAGAAGATTGAAAAAATGAAAACCGAAGATCCTGATGACTATTAAATAAAAAAGCAGATTGAAGTCTTGCAAGAATCTCAAATTATGATTCCAGATTGCCAACGCAGATGCTGCACAGGCTGATCTTATTCAGCTATTAGAAAATGAAAAGGAGTTGAAAGAAACTGACGAGTATAAAGATGCATTCTCAGTATTGGAGTCAATAAAATTAGATGCCTAGATTGTGTTTATTTTATGTTTGCCTCAGTATTGCGTCCATTTGCTACTCTTTACTAATGTTTGGCCATTGCTGTATTTGTGTAGCCTTTACATATGATGATGTGCTAAAACTGGTCAGCCGCTAGTTTTATTCAATTTCAGCTAATTTAGCCTAATCTTTCTTTGACATTTTTGGAAACATTTTCTTGAAATCTGTATAATCAGAATATAGACTGCAAATAAATTAAAAATTTATTAAGCAACATTGGGGGGAAAAAGATTTTAATACTGTCAGCCGCTAGTCCCAATCAGAGCAGACTCATTGGATTACTGAATTGTAAGTCACCATGCACATTCTATTGATTCAGTGGTCCTGCTCTATGTAGGACTAGTTGCAGTGCTTCTCAACCTGTGGGTTCCCAGATGTTTTGGCCTTCAATTCCCGGAAGCTCACACCGCTCCCCGGAATCGAACCTGCGACCTTTTGATCAACAAGCTCAGCAGCTCAGTCCTTTAACCCACTGCGCCACCCGAGGGCTCCCTATGTATATATTCTTATAATAAAATAATATATATATATAGGGAGCCCCTATATATATAACTATAACTACTGGTAAACTGGCTAGGATTTATGGGAGTTGTAAGCCACAACACCTGGGGACCCACAGGTTGAGAAACACTGGTAGTGATTAGCATTTGGATTTGGAAGCTGATTAGTCCCACTATGAATTATAAAACTACCCACTGAGCTTCGTAGTGGTTTGCGGAACATACTGTAAACCCATATTCAGTTGACATGTATCTGTAATTATAAGACTTTTTGAAGTTTTTCTAACCATTAACATTAATAAACAGAGTTGCAAAAAGAAAAAAGTTTGTTTTAAAAAGAAATTTGATTTAGATTAGCAACAGTATAGAATCATATTAATCACCAATATTATTATGTAGCATCTACATCAAGGTATTTTTGTTTTATGAGTGATATCTAAATGCAATCATTTATGTTTTATCCAAGGAATCATTTGCTCTCTCACTCAAGAACATTACTCTACTAGAATGACTGTTCATGAATGAATGTAGTGTGAATTGTTTATTGTACTAGCCATAGGCCATGACATCAGTAATATATTAACTTTATAAACACTTTCCAATATAAACCTTAAAATGTAACAATAATTAAAACTAAAACAAGTTCTTTAAAATTATGAAAGCAGAAACATGACAATAACAGTGTCTGCTCTGAGAATGACTGTTCATTAAAGCTATGCTTGATTGTCACAGGCTGGAACAAATGGATACATGGCTCCTGAAATCCTAAACGAAGAAGCTTACACCTACTCTGTTGATTGGTTTGCTATGGGATGCAGTATTTATGAGATGATTGCTGGCCGAACTCCGTTCAAGGATTTCAAAGAGAAGGTCAATAAGGATGAAGTAAAAAAAAGAACATTAGAAGATGACCCTAAGTTTGAGCACAAAGATTTTGATGAACCAACAAAAAGTATCTGTAATTTGTTCTTGGCGAAGAAACCAGAAAATCGTTTGGGAAGCAGGTATTGTTTGCCTTATCTTAATTGAAATATAATTTAATAAATAATGCTTTTCTTTTTTTAAAGAAAAAATAAGTCTAAACATTTTATAAAATCTGTAGGTGTTCCATGATTGTTTACACAAGATAGCCTATTTATGTTTGTGCATGCAAGGGTCCAATTGGTGACAATTACCTTTGAAAATGCCTTGGGTGCATCTGTCTGTTCAGATTTTTCCTACCAAAATGTTGTCTTTAAAAGATTTAATATTCCCCTCCAGATCCAATTCAAAGTACCGTATATACTCGAGTATATGCCAAGTTTTTCAGGCTGAAAAAGCCCCCCTAGGCTTATACATAAGTCAAAGTTATTTATCATTTTTCTCTGTTATTATTATTATTACATTTATTATTTTACTCTATTTATTATTATTATTATTATTATTATTATCACATTTACATTATTTTACTTTGTTGTTATTATTATTATTTTATTACACTTATTATTTTACTGTCTTTATTATTAATGGAAGGATACATAAGCATATTTACACTTAAGAAGGTTAGAATAATGGTTTAATCAGAGTTGGACAGTCTTATCTTAAATTACAGTTTTATGTAAATATTCAAAAACATTTAACCTTCTGATGCCTCAATTAATGTAATGTGATGTTTCTGCAAATAATGTGTGCAGATCCTAGTAGGGTGGCTTTCTGCAGCTGGCAGATGGTAATTTTGTCAGCGTTGATTGTGTTCAAGTGCAGGCCAGGGTCTTTAGGTACTGCACCCAATGTGCCGATCACCACTGGGACCACCTTTACTATCTTGTCCCAGAGTCTTTATAGTTCAATCTTTAAATCCTCATGTCAGTTTTTCCAATTGTTCCTCTTCAATCCTGCTGTCGCTTGAGATTGCAACATTGATGATCCATACTTGGTTTTTGAACACAATCGCGAGGTCAGGAGTATTGTGCTTCAAAACTGTCAGTATAAATTTGGATGATGATGATGATTATGATGATGATGATGATTATTATTATTATTATTATTTATACCCTGCTTTATCTCCCCAAAGAGGCCTCAAAGGGGCTTAACATAAAAGCATTATTATTCAATTTAAAATATACAAATATACAAACATTAAAACAGAATTAAACATAATCAGCACTAAAAAAAATAATTAAAATCCATCAAAAACATATTCAAAGTTAACAACCACAGCACCCCCTGACTAGATCTTAAACACCTTCATTTTTAAAAACCTATCTGGAAAAGTACAGTAGGGAGGGGGCCATTCTGGCTTCCTTGGGCAAGAATTTCCAGAGTCGCTCGTTCCCACCTACCAAGCATGAGATGGAGGTGGGACCAAGAGACTGGCCTCTTCTGAAGATCTCAGGGCCCAGGCAGGTTCATACAAGGGGATGCAGTCAACCAAAAAGCCTGGCCCTCAACCATCTAGGGCAGGGGTCCTCAAACTAAGGCCCAGGAGCTGGATGCGGCCCTCCAAGGTCTTTTACCCAGCCCTTGTTCACGGTCAACCTAAGTCTGAAACGACTTTAAAGCACACAACAACAACAACAATAACAACAACAATCCTATCTCATCAGCCAAAAGTAGGTCTACACTTCTCATTGAAATACTAATAATTTTTTATTTGTTAAAATTGTTCATTTTCATTATTGTATTTCTTTAAGTCGTTTTTTTTTTTGCACTACAAATAAGATATGTGCAGTGTGCATAGGAATTCATTCATGTTTGTTTCAAATTGTAATCAGGCCCCCCAACAGTTTGCGGGACTGTGACCTGGTCCTCTGTTTAAAAAGTTTGTGGACCCTCGATCTAGGGCTTTAAAGTTCATAACCAGCACTTTGAATTGTGCCCGGAAACGGACTGGCAGCCAGTGGTGCTATTGTCAATTCCCTGAAGCCAGCTCTAGTTAGCAACCTGGCTGCAGCTTTTTGGACCAGCTGAAGTTTCCAAGCACTCTTCAGAGGCAGTCCTACATACAGCACATTATAATAATCCAGAGAGGATGTAACTAAGGCATGGACTATCATGGCCAGATCTGGCTTCTCAAGGATTGGGCACAGTTGGCGCACACGTTTTAATTGTGCAGAGGCCCTCCTGGCCACCGCTGATACCTGAGCTCCAGGCTTAGTCCTGAGTCCAGGAGGACCCCCAAACTGCAGACCTGTGTCTTCAGGGGGAGTGTGACCCCATCCAGAACAGGCTGGATTCCTATTCCCTGGTCTGCCTTCCGACCGATCAGGAGTATCTATGTCTTGTATGGATTAGGTTTCAGTTTGTTTGTCCTCATCCAGTCCATTACTAATGACAGGCACTGGTTTAGGGTCAGAACAGCTTCCTTGGCCTTAGGTGGAAAGCAGTAGTTGAATTGGGTGTTATCCACATATAGGTGGTACCGTACTCCAAACACTGGATGACGTCTCCCAACAGTTTCATATACAATTTAAACAGCATGGAGGACAAAATGGAATCCTGAGGAATCCCACAGGTCAATGGCCAGGGGTTCGAACAGAAGTCGCCCAGCACCACTTTCTGGGTACGGGCCTATAGGAAAGACTGTAATCCCATCCCAGCAAGTCGACCCAGAAGGATACAGTGGTCAATGGTATCGAAAGCCGCTAGCATTACTGCAGTTTGACACCACATAGCTCGATGTTATAGAATCACAAGGGTTAGGGATTTACAAAGTCTTTAGCCTTCTTTGCCAAGTGATGCCTAACTGTGATAATTCTATAGTGTGGATTTACATATGTTCAATTAAAATGTATATTGTTTGACATTGTTTGGGGGTTTTATTTGCTGTCTTTTAAAAATAATTTTGGCCTAAATTCAATTGCTAGTTCAATGAGATTAGATTAGTTAAGTGACTTACTAGATGGTGAGTCAACAATATAAATCCCATTCATCATACCTACCATCATACCTAAGGCAAACTTTATTATGGGAATGCTTTTGCTTTCCTCTGAAGCTGAGAGAATGTGACTTTCCTAATGTCACCCAATGAACAGTCCAACATTCAAATCACTACAGCATGCTGGCTCTCTCAGTATGCAATACAGCTCAGTATTTTTTATTTATTCTATTGAACCTGGAAACTAGGGATTGACGTCCCAATCTGAAGATGAGGGAAACTCTTGTTAAGACATTATTTTTAAAAGTAGGGGATTAGGAATTTTAAAAAGAAATTCTGCTGTTCATAAATAGTATTTGATAATGTTGCAGAAGCAACACTTTAACTCATAGGCTACCCTGTAAGATACCATTGAAAATGAGTTGTAGATAAGGGGAGATCTAGGCAAATGATGCCATGAATAGTCCACAATTTACCAGGGAATCCTGCTGTAGTCCCTCACAGTGGGCAATGTAGAAGTTTGCACTCTCTTCCTTGGGTACTTCCATCTTTTGTAGGTTCCAGAATAAGTTAGGAAAGTTAGTCAGGCAAGTAAAATCAGATGGAGAATTCACTCCAGCTAGCACCCTGACCATCCTGTTGATGGTCAGGATGCTGATGGTCAGTTTTTACAAATTATCTTCATATTTTCTGCAGGGAGGGTTAAGTCTGGAGTTGATCCTGTCTCATTTCATGTGCCAGGAGAACCACAGTGGCTTTTGCCTTTGTGGAAACCTACATCTGTCATTCCTGCTCCACTCAGGTTTGCGTTGGCCATATCAGGTTGATTGATATCTGGGTATAGATTCATGCTCAGTCAAAGTTGTGGTCTTTCCTGACTCTCCATTCCATTTCATTCATGTTGAGCATCTTCATTATTGCACGAAGAACCACCCAGAAATGCTGTTATACCTGTTTTAACTTTGTTTACAATCGGATAAGCTAAAGCACTTGCTGAAATGTGGGTGCCAGTGGGGAATTTCAAGGAAGAGAGAAAGATACTACTATATGTATTCATATCCAAGTATAATTGAATATGAAACATTGTTGTGAATAATTTTATGTATGTGATCACCATATCCCATTCAGTAATGATCTGTTAATATTTGTGAGGAAGCTAAAATTCATCACATTCATTTCATGTAGAGTGCACATCAGAGATATGATGTCTTAATACAATTTTACAGTACTAGGAAGTTTTATAGAGAAGCAAGGTATCATACCCCACATTGTGTGCAGGGAATAATAACATCAAATACAATAGGCCCTCAATTTCTGCAGGGGTTAAGGATGCAGGACCCCCATGGAAGTAGGAAAAGCATGAATTTTAAAATGCTGGTTTTTTTTAAATTGAGAGAACTTTTTTTGGAATTTCTGGACCTTCCAGTGCAACTCTATGGTCAACACCAGAAGTTGACCAGAAAATCACAGAAGGGGAGGTGGCTTCAAATGTCTACAGAAGTGTTTTCTCTAGGAATCACTAGATCCTCCCAATATGAATCTTCCAGTATAGTTAAACCGGAGACTTCGAGATCCCCAGAGAAAACATATTAATCAAGTCCACAAATAATCAAATTTGCAAAGTGGCACTTCAAAATGTGTAAAGCCAATTGTATTGGGATGCTAGTGATTTGATTTTTTAAAGTTATTGGAATAAGGGTTCTTAACCTTGATTTCATAAGATCTAATCACACAGTGATTCTTAACCTGTGGGTCCCCATGTGCTTTGGCCTTCAACTACCAGAAATCCCAGTCAGTTGACCAGCTGTTAGGATTTCTGGGAGTTGAAGAACAAAATATCTGGGGACCCACAGGTTGGGAACCACTAGTGGGAGTATCACAATAGCATTATAGTTAAGAAGGATGATCAAGATATGCAACCTCATACAATGACATCCTGTCCTGTTTCAGTGGGAGCATTAAAATATGTCCAAAAGACGAATTCCCCTCCCACCCACACCCCTTTCACAATATGACTAAAGTCAACAAATTCTAGAGCTGAAAACATAACAAATTCTGGTACTTCATGAAGGTTGTGCATTTTACTTGAGACATGAATGAGACAGGCAGTTTTTCTTGCTGCAATTCTGTCAACTAACAAAAAGGCAA